AAGGAATTCTTTTATTATTTATTTTGGTAAGAAGCTTTGTACCTTCTCTATGGAGAAAAGTGGTAGTCGTACAGGGAAATCAAGTTGCCAACTGCCATATGTTCTCTTTACTTGATTGAAAAGGGAAAAGTGGAACTTTTTTAATTTTGGCCACGCTGCTGTGTGTTTCCCTGGATGGAAACATTGGAGTCTCGGTAGCCGCTCAAGCTTCAAACTTGACAGTTGAGGAAATTCAAAGTTAACAATTGCTTCAATTCCTTGTTCCCCCATTGTAACAATTTCCTCCACCCCGCACATCAATAAATGTAGCTTTTGAAGTTGCGAAAGGCTTTTGCCTATTGAAGCTGGAAACAAAAATTTGAGTTTGTCACAACGTTCTATAACTACTAATTCCAAGCTGTGGAAAGTGAGTATCCCTTGGGGATCCTTATTCCACACATACTTCAATCTTGGTAGACCATTAATATTCAATTCTCTCAACTTGGTGTCTATTATAGCATGTGTTTGTTTGACATTGAACTCGGCAATTCCAAATACCACTTCTAGCGAGCCACAATAAGATATAATTAACTTCTCTAGGGATTTCCATATTCTTCCCAGCATATCAGCAGATGGAAAAACCGTGGATAACTTCTCACAATTTCTAACCGTTAATGATTTTAGTTTGCCAAAGGAATTTGCATGGAATTGGTTGTGCCATATGATATCCAAGTTTTTCAAGTGAGTGAGAGTCAAACTTTCCAAGTTGGGAAAAGCAACCTACATAATGAATGCATCATGCCACATTTAGATTAGTTCCTTAAATTAATGCGAAAACAAAATGCAAGTGAAATGAGTAAAATTTACCTGTTCATTGAAGAATGGTTGTTTGTCAGCAATGACATTTGTACTTGCAAAATATTTAACAATGAATCCTTCCAACTCTGGGCAGTTCAATACTTGCAATTGCTTTAAGGATGGGAATTCAACAATACAATTCCCTGAGTAGAATCCAACAATGTTTTGGAGGTTTTTTAGCAATAGGAAGCTCAATTGAGGAAAAATTAAATCCTCTTTTTCTTCTGCATTCTCTGTGACAATAATCTCTCTCATCCTCTTGCATTCCCTTATTTCAACTCGATTGAGCATCACTAAACCTCTAGCTACAGAAGATGAGAATAAGTACTCCAAATTGTCACAGCCTTGAATGATCAATTTCTTCAGTTTCTCCACACATAAATATATTATTGAAGTGTGCCATTTGATGTTAACATTCATCCAGCGTAATTGCAGCTCCTTTAGGTTTGGTAACACAGCCTGCACGACATAGAATTCATTTTGTAGAAAAAGCTTATCATTTTGTTGATGGATGAGAAAAAGGATGGTCAATCATGTTAAAAATGGTAGGAGTTGGAGGAGTTGATCAATGTATTCCACAACAGTAGTTAAAACTATTATTGGTAGGGTCTTAGCTCCATATATTTCCACGGAGTATAATCCAGTTATATGATCAATCAATTTTGGGGTGGTAGGCAGATCTAAGAGGGAAGTTTGGTCTTTACTGTACTGTTATAACTTGGATTGTGTGGATATGCAAGAGTGAAAGGTTATTTAAAGGGAAGGACAAGTTTGTCGATATGGCTCTCAAATTGACTGGAAGGAGATCATTTATGTGAACAAAAGGCAAGGTGGGTGGTTGTTTATCCAGATCGGTGTCTAAATTTTGCTCTTTGTGCTTTGGGACTGACTAGCAGAGGAGGTTAGAAGATGAACAAAAGCAAAACTTTCATCAGAAGGCCAATGCAACTTTATTTAAAAACAACATTAAAAACTCCAAATTAAAAGACCTCATCAGAAAAGATCATTCTTTTTGTGAAGATTTCCTTCTTAATCCAAAGAAACAATGTAACGACAATCCCAAAGCAAAAACATGAGAAATGACACAGAGACATTTAGAATGAAGGATGACGGTAGACTTTGTTCAGGACAATTAAACACTGTCCAATTAAATAATTTTCTTAAATTGAGTAATTTTACTTTTACTTTCAAGTGATGAATTTTTAGGCATAATAAGTAAAGAGATTTACCTGTTCTACATCATAGTTAATAATTAATAATTTTTGTATTTAATTAATGTACTAGTAATAATAGGTAACTCAGATTGGTTATTACTCCTAATTAATAGAGTACAGTTCAAACAATCCTATTGTGTATGTACAATTTATTTTATATAATTAAGAAAACTAAATATATACCATTTCAATTGATTAAGAAAATTAATTATGATATCATTTATGAAGAATAAGCAAACTATATTTACACCTGAATTAAGTCTAACATAAGTGAAAAATTTTTAAGCACAATTTGGATGATGGATATGTTTAATTTCTTCAAATATTAAGGGAAAAATTATATAAGTTATGAAATGTCTAATTCTTTTTATAATAATAGTTTTTGAGAGCCTTCTATTATTGGTTGTTACTGTAAATTTGCTGCAATTATGGTTCTTTTAGGCACAATTGTCTAAGGTAATTGATATATCTATAAAGATAATTAGGTGGAGATAATAGCAGCATCGATACTGAAAAAACAATTACTCAGTAAAAGTAAAATAAAATAATTTTTGCGAAATAACTGACCTTGTCACTAAAGAAAGGTTGAGTAGGGATGACAAGCCTTTCTTCACTTTCTGTGTCATTAGTTGTTATCTCTTTCTTTCGGTCACTTGAAAATGAAGAAGCAAAAGTAGCCAAAGCTGGGCAGTTAACAACAGTAATTTTGTACAACCGTGGAAACTCAAGCCGATTACTTCCCTCATAGAAACATTTCAAGTTGGGACAAGCCTCTAAAATAATAGTGAATAGCTTAGGAAACAGGTCCTCAGCTCCTTCTCCTTTGATCACTTGCTCCATCTTGACACAGTTTGTGACTTCCAGATTATAGAGTTGCACAAGGCCCAACGCTATGGAAGATGGGAATAGATATTTCAAATTACCACAGCCCTTGATGATCAACTTCGTCAATTTCGCAACATAAGAAGATGTTATTGAAGCGTGCCATATGGTGTTAACATTAATCCAAGACAATTCCAACTTCTTTAGGTTTGGAAATGCAACCTACACAACATAATTCTTCTTCTGATTAAATTTCATGATTTTGGTTATAGATATACAAATAGGATGATACCGCGTTAGAAGCCGTGGAGTTTAGGTACGACTAAAATAAAAGTAATGCAAATCAAAGAGAAGTATTATATTTATCTAGTATTAAATTAATAGAAAAAGTATTTTATAGATTGTTTTCTTAAATTTTTTAGAGAATATATTTAAAAGCTCATTTTTTATTTATATTTTTGAAAATTAACTGTTAAATTGAAA